CACACACACACACACACACACACACACACACACACACACACACACACACACACACACACACACATACAAATGCACACTGATTGACTGGCAGTAGGTGGTGCAGCTTGAGTGATTGATTCACTGATATATTCAAACTCCCAGAGGAAGAAATAAGGAAAAGTAGGGAAGAGTGTCCCTTTTGGTGAACGACATTTGAGGTTGAACATCACTCTGTCAGAAACATTTCACATGTTTAGAAATGGTTAAGGGTTTTGGAGGGACGATAAAAAATCAGTGTGCGCTGTCGTGTGTCACGTGTCACCATTGTCAAATCAAATTGTTTACGTTGGAGTCAATTGCAAGGAAGATGAGCAATAGCGAACTTCAGTAATGAAACAGCATCATATACACCAGACCAGATAGTTGTGACCTCGAACCAACAACAGAATTTCATCACGAGTTTCACCAAATAAGAAGACACCAAGAGCTCATAATTGACAATGCTGGTAAAGTCTCATCATCATCATACAATGTCGAATGATAACGACAACAGCTTTCCCGAAGTACGAGCATACAGCGACCAATGCCGCACGCTTCCAGCACCAGGTATGTCACTTGCCTCACTCATAACCTCGTTCCCCAACACACAGATGCCACTTGCACCCAAAGACCACCGTGCGCCACACCCAGCTTACAGCAGCGCAGCTCGGCTATGGCTGCCTGCTCATCCCTGCTCGCCCGTGAGCGCGTGAGTGCCAGCGAGCATTAGCGCAGCAGCACTTGCGCAACATGCAGCCAGCACCCTAATCCCCGAACTGCAGGCAGGCCCTTTGCTATATCGAAATGGCCTGCATGCATTCAATCCCAGGAAGCTTCCAGTAGGCCCCGGTAGCCTGAGGCCCAGCACGAACGAGAACAGGCCTTGGGCCTGAGGTGGTTGCATGCACCCAACTGCCTCTGGCCTGTGTTCGACCCAGTACCCGTATCCAGCCCAGGGCCTGCTTTCCATTCATTCACACAGGTGGCCCAGGGCCTGGGTTCTCTTAACCAACTNTGTTCGACCCAGTACCCGTATCCAGCCCAGGGCCTGCTTTCCATTCATTCACACAGGTGGCCCAGGGCCTGGGTTCTCTTAACCAACTGGCGCTGGGCAACTGCCTGAATTTCCTTGGTTGCGCAGTGGCCGAAAATAGGGCCCTGAGGGCCTCGTCGAGCCTGCCTTCACTTAGGGCGGCCGACTTGTTCTGAATTGGGGCCGAATGGGGCTCATAGAGGCAGTGGCCTCACATTCCCTCCTCCTTAGCTTCAACAGTCCTCTGAGAAGCTCAGTCTTCAACCATTGGGCACTTTCCTTTCTGCAGAGATCTCTCGTAGCGGGCTACAACCTACGGAGCGTTCTGCATGAGTTCCTCCCTGGTGAACCAGCGGTCCTCCTTCGGATCAGTGTGATGCAGGAACCGAACACGATACTGCAGCTTCGGTTTCGGAGGACGCCCCCTGCCTGTTGGTCTTGACACTGGCTGTGGTCCACGATGTCATCGATATCCACCTCTTCATCCATGGTTGGGGGCAGCATTGAACGACGAGAGGGGAACTGATCAGTCTCTTTAAAAGGTGTGAGTTTGGAGGCGTGAAAGACGGGGTAAGTACGAAGATGACCAGGGATCCGGACTACGTAAGAAGGTCCATCCGGATCAGTCCCAACAATATCCAAGAATTCCCATGGTTGAAAGTACTGTGGCATGAGCTTGCGGGAGATCCCGTGCTCCTGTCCCAGTTCTGAGGACTTAACCCAGACTCTGTCCCCAACCTGGAATGAAGACTCACGGCGATGTTTGTTCTCAGATTCTATCATAGCCGCCTGTGCCTTCTGCATCTGTTCTACGGCCTGCTGCATCTTCTGTTCATACCGGTAAGCAAATTCTAAGGTACCCGGAGCAGCAGTTGCCTGTTTCTCAAGAAGAAGGAAATCCAAGGGTAGTCTAGGCTTAAAAGTCAGTAGTAAGTTGTTTGGGCTCACCCCGGTAGCGCTGTGTACCACGTTGTTGTACAAGTTGGCGATGAGAGCAAGTTTCTCATCCCAGTCCACTTGGTTGGGCTTGATGTAATGCCTCAACAGGTGTTGGACAACGCGGTTCAGTTGCTCGGCTTGGCCATTGGCCTCTGGGTGATTCCGATAAGTCATTTGCAACTGTGTTCCCTGTTCGGCAGCGGCGGCCTTCCACAACTCGCTGGTAAACCGGACATTCATGTCACTTATGATAGACTTTGGTAACCCAAAATCCCTGACCCAGTTCTCTTTGAACATTCTAATCACATACTCCGTTTTTGGTGTTTCCGGCATTGCTACTAACCTAGCATACTTACTAAATCTATCCACAATAACGAAGATGTGTCTCATCCCACTCTTGCTGGTGACCAGCGTATCCACGAAATCCATGGACAAGCTTTCACCAGGCCTATCCGGAATCGGAAGGGGCTTCTGGAGCCCAAGAGGAGCCTGAGTACGTGGCTTGTCTCTTTGACAGACCTGACAAGTTTCCACGTACAACTTCGCATCTCTCATCATTGTGGGCCACCAGAACTGCTGCAGCAGATTAGCCGCAGTCTTTTTGAACCCAAAATGTCATGTGGCATCATGACATTCGCCTAAAAATAAACTACGCGAAGCACACATAAACGTTTATTCCCTGCCTTCTCAAGGAACAGCAGGCCGTTGACCAACTAAAACTCGGCAGAAGTTGCTTTGTCCTTTGCCTCGAGTCTGCGTATGATCTTGGCCATAAACGGGTCCTCGCGATAGGCTTCCACCAACGACTGAGTAACATTGTCCGCAATCCCAAACTCAGTGATCAGCGCACCTGAGAAATCAGGTCTATGCGACAAGGCATCAGCAACTTTGTTGTACTCGCCCTTGATGTACTAGGGCTCGAAGTCATACTGCTCAATGACTTCGATCCAACGCTTGAGAGCGTCAGAGAGTACCGTCTGAGTTCTCATCCATCTCAGGGTCTGATGATCAGTCCTGAGGATGAAGAACCTCCCAAGGAGATAGTGTCTCCAATGGGTCAGAGCCTTGTATACCGCATAGAGTTCCTTCTCATAGGTGGACTTTGCCAACTTCTGAGACGATATCTTTTTGGAGATGTACTCGACAGGCCTCAACTTTTTCCCCTCCTGTTGTGCAAGTACGGCGCCTATGCCATATTGGCTAGCATTTGTAGTCACTATAAATGGCTTATTAGGATCGGGAAGTTTCAAGACTTCGTAATGCGTCAACGCATACTTCAGATGTCTAAAAGCAGCCTCGCATTTCTCAGTCCACTCCCATGGGGTGTCAAGGCGGGTCAGATCAGTCAAAGGGGCGGCAACTATGCTGTAGTTCTTCACAAAATTGTGATAGTAGTCGGTCATCCCTAAGAAAGATCTCATCTCAGTTACAGACTAAGGACGTGGCCAGTCACGAATGCTGGCCACCTTCGCGTCATCGGGCTTCAATCCCTCTGCGGAAATCTCATGACCCAAGTACAAGACACGGGTGCAGCCAAACTAGCACTTCTCACCGTTGATCTTGAACTTGTGCTGTTGCAGGAGACTAAGGACTTTGTCCAAGTGCGCAACGTGCTCCTCAACAGTCTTACTAAAAATAAGTATGTCATCGAGGTACACGATGACAAACTGATCCAAGTAGTCATGGAATATCCGATTCATAGCGTGCTGAAAGGTGCCAGGAGCATTGCAAAGACCGAAAGGCATCACCACAAACTCGTACAGACCGTACCTAGTCTGAAATGCGGTTTTGTGTTGATCCTCGGGCCGGATTGCAATCTAATGGTACCCGGACTTCAGATCTATCTTACTGAAGTACCGACACCCTTGCACTCTATATAGCAAATCGTCGATGCGTGGTAGGGGCTCTCTATTCTTGACAGTGATGGCATTGAGGCCCCTATAGTCAATGCACATCCTCAGTGTCCCCTCCTTTTTCATAGGCACGAAAAGTACTGGAGAACCATAAGGAGAGACTCTCGGTCGGATCCAACCCTTCTCTACGAGTTCCTTGAATTGTCGGCGAAGCTCATCAAGCTCGCCTGGAGACATCTGATAGATCCTACCCTTCGGGATGTTAGACCTTGGGATAATCTCTATCGCGTGGACGACCTCCCTCTCTACAACCCCTGTCGGCTCTTCAAATAGATCAGGGTACTTGGCGACTACTCCCTCTGTCTCCGGCGGCATTTTCACCGGCTCGCCTGCAACAGAGACATAAACTAGATACATACCGTCCTCCTGATTTTGCTTATAGTAGTTATAGAACGAGGCCGCACACATGCATCCGTGAGACTCAATCTGACTACTAGCTTTGAACATATGCAATCTGGTGGTCCCTCCACCTAGCAAAGTGTGTTTGACCGCTTTTCGGTCCCAGTCAAACTGGGGTTGTGCCACAGAGAGGTAGTACATACCTAACAACATGTCCATGGGGAGTTCAGCACTCACTAGGAACGAGACGCAATGTCTCAATTCCCCTCCCGCATACGGGAAACAACACTCAACCTCTTGGAGGTAGTCGTTGACTACCATGCGCTATTTGTTGGCACAAGTCGACTCCACAGGTCGACTCAGGCGCTGCACTCGCCCCTGTAAGCGCAGCCTCTCAACGCACGCGCGACGGATAAAGTTCCTAGTCGAGCAAGTGTCATAATAGGCCCCGGCCTTGCGGCCGCCAATGACCACCTTGCTGACGAATATCTCACCCTTCGGGGCTTTGACTAGGGCCATCCAAGAAGCTAGCGGGTCTGATCTAGACCACTCCTCCTCTAGCTCCTCTAAGGACTCAAACACATTCATCGAACAGAAGCTCGATGGGTCTGAACGTGTTTGCGGGACGACGCTGGAGTCAGTAGCTTGGGCCATCTCTCGAGATGGTGAGGGTGTAACCACCACCTCGACCCTAGTAGGAACAACTACTATTCCTACTGGCCCGACGTGTTTCCCGGAGCACTGCCAGAAGTGCTAGCTACATTGCTACCAGCGGGATGGGAGGATCCCAACGCCTGCCCCATCGTAGGCGGGATCTTATCGGTCACCTTCTTGTTGCGGCACTTGACTTGATTATGGCCATATTGACCACAGCGAATACAGGCCTGCCGTGTATACCGATCTCTCCACACGTCCTCTGTGAGACCCGCTTTCTCCCATGGGGGAGCGTTGGGGTCAACTTGACTCCTTGATCGGGAGCCTCCACGACGTCTACCAGTCGCCTTACCTTTCAGAGCTACAGCAGCGACAACTCCACCCCCTGAAGCTTCAACGCTGCCTGCCTCTAAACCTACTCCCTCCTGGAAGTTGTCGTCTAACTCGATGGTTGAACCATCGTTATCGACAAACATAATGCGACCCTTCGCCTTTTAGTTGGGAGACAGTGACTTCTTCCTACCATCCGTAGTGGGTGCCTGCCCATGCCCTATCTTCGCCTCAAGGTCTAGGGCCTTCTTGCTAAACGAGGGGAAGTTGTGAACATTGATGTTGGCCTCACCTGCCAACTGATTCCTGAGAGGCATAGGAAAGCATCTCAGGTAGGGGGTGAGTAAAACCTGGGGGTCATAGCGCACCCCAGGGACACAGATCAGACGCTCTACAACGTCGGTGGCTTCCCTGATTGACTTAAACTGCCTCGTGTGCAGTATCAAGATCGCATCAGTGGTCTTTTGGGCCTCCTGAGGATCATGCCACCTTTCTTCCACCATCTTGAGGAAGTCCTCCAATTTCTGGTGGGCTGCCCAAGCGCGGAAGTCATGACCGTACCCCTCTAGTTGCACTAAACCGCTCAACCATCGTGCTGCACTACCCTCTAGATAGGATGCAGCCACAAACACTTCCTCGTGCGGCAAGGTAAGATTACACTTGACATAGACCGGCACTGCCCTCAACCACGTGTCGAGGTCTTCGCCCCTCTTGCCCCTGTAAAGGGTTTACGAGCGGCGATGGCCGTCTTTGGTACCCACCGAGTTTGTCCCGGTCCCTGCATCACACTGGACTGTGGACCCTGTGATACAGGCGGCTGCACTGGCTGCAGGGGCTGGGTACCCTGCAGCTGCACAGGCTGCGAGACAGCAGGTTGCGTTGTAACCGCAATCTGCAACGGAGGTTGAGAGTACACTCGTTGTACCGGAACCTGTAAACTAGGACCTACTGAGAGCCCTCCTGATAGCAGCATGCCCAGGGAAACGATAGCGACCGATGATGGGGCTACATATGGGGATACCCCTGTCACCGGTGGGACAAAGGGAGGAGGATGTGCAACGGGTCAGGCACCTGGCTCGGACGGTGATGGTGTCGCCTGCATCCGCCCGACTAACACAGCCAGACTCTGCTGGATGTCCTGCAAGATATCCGTCTGGTGATCCTGCATCTCCACTACACTTAACAGGACCGACCGTATGGTTCTCACATCATCATCCATCCCTGCAGGGTTCATCTCCTCTAACTCACTAATGTCCGCTTCTCTCCTCTGCATACTGGCTCTTCTCCTAATCATTCTGTCTTTCTCAGCCTTAATCTCTCCTAAAGCCTGCTGTAAATGTGCCTCACGAGCAGCAGCTCGCTGTATGGCGACCTCCTCGGGTGTCAACACCAATGGCTGACTTGCCATAACGCCAACGGACTGACTCTGGGTCTGTGCGACCGTTGACCCTACAGAACCTGAATTACCGGCTTGAGTAGTCTGTTGCGCAGAGGTGGCCATGGCTTCCGAAGCCGCGGCTTCACTTACAAGTGCCCTGCTAGCCTCTGCTGCACTAGCCCTCCTCTGATGCTGCAACCTTTCTCTACGTTGGCGAAACAAATATTTGTCACCCTCTGGACCTAATGCCAAATGGGCTAGTGGGCGCCTTGTCGATCGCAAGATCCGGTCGTCCTCTCTAGTGTCCTCCCTATCATTCATAAGCTACAACACTGTACACAATCTGCACTAGTGCACTCTGGATGCCTACCGCAGTGTAGTGCACAGACCAATTTCAAATAAATAATTAATTGATTGGCGGCTATATCAGAGACCTTACACTCGGGCCCAACAGGTAAGTCAGATTCTTACAAACAATACTATTTTTAGTCTGATTAGTCCGCGAACAGAATGCAGAATGAACAGAGACTGTTCTAATTATGCTGTCTGTCAGATGTCATATGTTTGTACATCTAACTTATCAAAACATAAAAATAGAATCATTTGTGTGGATAAAACAGTATGGAATTCTTCTCGAACTTATCACATGAAATATACCCCTCCCTTAGTTCCCTTGAATGTCACTTGACATCAGCATCCCTGAGCAATCCGGAGAGCGTTGCATGTCTAAAAGGTGTGTGTTCGACCCACCCCTGTGCCCCGAGTATCTGCTGAGATGGCCAGCCCTGCACTGGATTATCCTCGCGTGCTGCGAGCCTTACAACCATTGGCTGATCCAGAGGCAATTTAACGTCCGCCCCCAAGTGACTCCAGGAATTATTTTATGTCGCAGCCGGACGACGATCACAACCAATGGTTTCCCCTACCGGTGTTTATTTAAAGACGCCCGGTTCTCGTCTCCCACTTAGGGCTGGCCTGCCCTTCAACACCCATCTAACAGCACAACAAGCCAAACAAAGGACAAGCAGCAAAGCATGCGTGCTCTACTCCCGGTGGGTTGGCATGGTGACCGGGACCCAGTGCTTCGTCCAGGGCCCTTCAGAAAGCTCCGCCSATCTTCTCCCAGATGCTCCACGTGAACATTGCCGACTCTCAAGGTTGAGCGCACTCGACACCTCACAATGAGAGGACTCTCAAGAAGGAACACACAACCTCACGGTAAGAAGTGTCGAAGAGGGTAGATAAGGTTAAGAGCAACGTACCTCAAATAGCTGCCCCCAACAACAGAGACAATCTCACCAGATGACCTGATGCCGATTGTGATGACCAGTCATTGCTTCGGCACAACCAGCATTGCACGCCGTTCCACCTCAGCACCAATCGCACATTAGATAGTTCTCATCACATTCTCCAGACCACATTACACCTCGTAGCCTTCCTGGCGATACCCTCACCTCCTGGGTCGCCACTACACTCGTCTCCGCCCTCCTCACTACACACCACTTACGGCCCAACTCACCAAGCAGACCGCATGTATGTACCGCATAAGGCAGAAGACAAGCGCCAGATTAGCGCAAATCGTACCACAACTCCGATACCAAATTGCAAGGAAGATGAGCAATAGCGAACTTCAGTAATCAAACATCATCATATACACCAGACCAGATAGTCGTGACCTCGAACCAACAGCAGAATTGCATCACGAGTTTCACCAGATAAGAAGACACCAAGAGCTCATAATTGACAATGCTGGTAAAGTCTCATCATCATCATCAATGAAGAACCAATGTTGATGTCCTATCTGGCGCTCAGCGCCCAGACTACAGATGGCAGATCCTATCTAGCCTAGACTACAATGCCGAATGATGACGACAACATCTTTCCCGAAGTATGAGCATACAGCGACCAATGTCGCATGCTTCCAGCAGCAGGTATGTCACTCGCCTCACTCACAACCTCGTTCCCCAACACACATATGCCACTTGCACCCAAAGACCACCCTGCGCCACACCCAGCTTACAGCAGCGCAGCTCGGCTATGGCTGCCTGCTCATCCCTGCTCGCCCGTGAGCACGTGAGTGCCAGCGAGCATTAGCGCAGCAGCGCTTGCGCAGCATGCAGCCAGCACCCGAATCCCCGAACTGGAGGCAGACCCTTTGCTATGTCGAAGTGGCCTGCATGCATTCAGTCCCAGGAAGCTTCCAGTAGGCCCCGGTAGCCTGAGGCCCAGCACGAACGAGAACAGGCCTTGGGCCTGAGGTGGTTGCATGCACCCAACTGCCTTTGGCCTGTGTTCGACCCAGTACCCGTATCCAGCCCAGGGCCTGCTTTCCATTCATTCACACAGGTGGCCCAGGGCCTGGGTTCTCTTAACCAACTNTGTTCGACCCAGTACCCGTATCCAGCCCAGGGCCTGCTTTCCATTCATTCACACAGGTGGCCCAGGGCCTGGGTTCTCTTAACCAACTGGCGCTGCGCAACTGCCTGAATTTCCTTGGTTGCGCAGTGGCCGAAAGGGCCTCGTCGAGCCTGCCTTCACTTAGGGCGGCCGACTTCCTCTGAATTGGGGCCGAATGGGACTCATAGAGGCAGTGGCCTCGCACAATCATTCCCTTATTGAATAATATCCACGTGCTGGTCAGTCTCCATTGGGGTCTGCCTCAGCTAATCGCCCCAGACCTTATCGGGATCTTTATTGGGGTCTGAACAGTCCTTATTGGGTCCTGGTTGCAAAGCTTAAGGTTTTTGGCCTCACATGAAGGATTGAGGATCAGGAGTTGGAACAGTTTTTTCTTTTTATTATCAAGCATGGAGAAAGGCATCCCATGTTCAGTGTAGGTCTGGACTTAGATGCTTGGGAGTCAAGGGGAGCTTTAAAGTTCTCTCTTACCACTGGGCTATTGCTGGGAACCCTCATGAATCTTGGCCCTATGCTGTCACTGCTGTGCACAGTGGTGTTTTCTGTATGTAATATGTTTAATTATATAATGAAAGGACACCATTTGCTGTATGCGGCCTGCTCATGGGTGAAGTGTTTGAAAGGATGCCAGGCAAATTTGGGGGCCAAGCAGAGGCAAGATGGCAATTTTGGGGTATTTGAAGATGAAGGTGATTAGTATTCAAAAATTATATCCTTCCCGATATCCGGTAAAATTGGAACGATACAGAGAAGATTAGCATGGCCCCTGCACAAGGACAACACACATAAATCGAGTATTTGAAATTTGAAAATGATGGTAGTTGGGGGGTATTTAAAAATCATGGTTATTGCCACTTATTGGTATTTGGAAATGGCCGCCTTTACCATGTGTTGGTTGCAGGGGACCCCATCTGGACCATTTCGGCAGAAATTAACACGACTTCACAACAACAAGCAGAACGAAATCAAACGTACTGTGCCATCCTGATTCATATCAGCCGCATGAAGGGATATCATATTTTCAATGTGAGTATGGTTCATGCTGTTCGCAGGCATACAAAAGGGGGAAAACTTAAGAAAAGGGGAAAAAAGGTGCATGCTGGTAACAGCTTTGGGGTTCAGGGCTCAGGATTGGGGTTTAGGGTTTAGGGTTCAGGGTTGGGGTTCAGTGTACAGAGGTTTGGGGTTCAGTGTACAGAGGTTTTGGGCTCAGGGTTAACAGTTAAGGGTTTCAGGTTTCGGGTTTTCGGGTTTCATGGTTTCAAGGCTTAGGGCCTCGTTCGACACCACTTGGAAATACTATAGATTCTAGGGCGCCCTAACTAGTGAAAAGTGATTAATTTCCCCTAACCCAATTTATCGTTCCACAGCCCGTAGACGGAACCCTTGCGATCGATGCCCTAGAAACTCAGGTGCTGACGACGGGGTGTCAGGAACAGTTGTTGTTCGTGGAAAAAAAAATAAAAAAATCCCTGTTTTATGCATTTTTTAGGGTCCAGCCAGCTCAGTGGTTAGGTTGGAAATGCTCATTGTGGTATGGGGTTGCGGGTTCAAAACTGTGCAGCCTTGCGCCTGGACACCAGCAGGGCGTTAGAATGATGCACGGCTCGACACATACCGTGGTAAGCTATTACAGACACTGCCTGCACACCACTCAAGGGTTGTCCACAGTGTTGTATGTCGGGGTCTTGATACTGTGTGGGTTGCTTGTCGCTGTTGCTCGTGGTTGTTCTGTTGATCTCCCCAGTCTGGCATATCACACACAGGTGCCGTTTGCGACTGTTGCTCAAATGGTAGAGTCTTCAGGTCACATGTCATAGATCATGGGTTCGCCACTGGCTTGGGACGTTTGGGGGGTTCTTGTCCAGCTTGGCTTGTCATCTCTTCAACGAACACATAGTTCCCTCTACATAGTACTGCACATATCTGGCCTTCAAGCACATACATCTCGCTATACAGTTACACAGAGCACACACAGCCTTCGGGCAGACACAAATATGGCTCATGAATAGCCTACGGGCTCATACAAACATACATAGCCGCTGGGCACACATATACACACAACTATGATACCGCGCTGGGGGGGTCTATCAGGTACATTACGGGGTCTACTCATGCATGGCTTTGCTCTAGGGTAGGGTAGGGATATAAGTCACTCCGGCTAGTCTGAGTTCCGCCTAGCCTTGGGTAAGCTAGGGTAAGGTAGGATGTGTCTGAGGGCACTTGTGATGCGCAACCTCATGCCCCGCGCAGCGTTCCGTACTTCGGACGCCGATCAGAGTAGTTAGGGGCGTAGCCAAGGATTTTTGGCCATGGGGGTTGAGCCACCCGGTCGAAACGGGGGACTCCTGCTTCAGGTCGAGGTGCCCAGGATGGGGCTTGAGCTGTCGTCGGGCGAACGGCGGCGTCCTACGGCCCGACCGTCTTTCACCCCATGGGAAAGGGAATAAAACAAAACGAGAGGGAAAGGGAGCTTTGTTCCCTGACGCGCGTGGTTCGCGCGGCCCTTGGGGGCGGGGACCCCGAAGACCGGTTTAGGCTTCGTTATCCGACTCGTCGAGTCCGTGCGGACAGTGCAGCACGGGCTCGCCCGGGGTTGGGCAGGTCGATGGGACCCAGGTTCGGAAATGGGCGGGGAGCGCACCCGCGTTGTGGGAGAGTTCTGGGAATCGAGTTGCCCCTTCGTACCCCAGGACCAACCGTCGCCACGAGCACGAGTCTCCCTGGCGACACCAGTGACAATTAAACCGCGGTCACCAGGTGGCGTGCACGGCGGACCAGGGCAACACCGTGAGGTCTGTGTACGGCAAAATTAAAGGCAGGGAAGTAAATCTCTCAATCAGCACAAACCCACTCCCTCCTATGTGGCACGCCCGGGTCGGGTTATGAAGCTGGATTGGCTCAGTGCGCCGCAGCAAGCTCCGCACGTCCGCAT